AATTGTTCCTTGTAAGGACAGTGAGGCCTTGAAAATCCCTGGAAATATCCAAGGCCGGGATCATGGAAGTCCCAGATCCTGGAGTGACCCTGGATCTTCATTGTCCCATCCAGGGAATGAGTTTGGGCTGAACAAGGTCAGGTTTAAACGGGAAATTTAAACAAGAAAGTTGAAATGGGAAATTTAAATGTTCCTTGTGAGGACAGAGAGGCCTTGAAAATCCCTGGAAATGTCCAAGGCTGGGATCATGGAATTCCCAGATCCTGGCATGTCCTTGGATCTTCAGTTTCCCATCCAGGGAATGGCTTTGGGCTGAACAAAGATGGGGAATATAAACAGGGAAGTTGAAATGGGAAATTTAAATGTTCCTTGTGAGGACAGAGAGGCCTTGAAAATCCCTGGAAATGTCCAAGGCCGGGATCATGGAAGTCCCAGATCCTGGGGTGACCCTGGATCTTCATTGTCCCATCCAGGGAATGGCTTTGGGCTGAACAAGGTCAGGTTTAGATGGGAAATTTAAACAAGAAAGTTTAAATTGGAAATTGTTCCTTGTAAGGACAGTGAGGCCTTGAAAATCCCTGGAAATGTCCAAGGCTGGGATCATGGAATTCCCAGATCCTGGTGTGACCCTGGATCTTCATTGTCCCATCCAGGGAATGGCTTTGGGCTGAACAAAGATGGGGAATATAAACAGGGAAGTTGAAATGGGAAATTTAAATGTTCCTTGTGAGGACAGCGAGGCCTTGAAAATCCCTGGAAATATCCAAGGCCGGGATCATGGAAGTCCCAGATCCTGTGGTGACCCTGGATCTTCATTGTCCCATCCAGGGTATGAGTTTGGGCTGAACAAGGTCAGGTTTAAATGGGAAATTTAAACAGGAAAGTTTAAATTGGAAATTGTTCCTTGTAAGGACAGTGAGGCCTTGAAAATCCCTGGAAATGTCCAAGACCAGCCTGGAGCACCCTGGGATCATGGAAGTCCCAGATCCTGGCGTGTCCTTGGATCTTCATTGTCCCATCCAGGGAATGGCTTTGGGCTGAACAAAGTCAGGTTTAGATGGGAAATTTAAACAAGAAAGTTGAAATGGGAAATTTAAATGTTCCTTGTGAGGACAGCGAGGCCTTGAAAATCCCTGGAAATGTCCAAGGCCGGGATCATGGCAGTCCCTTCATTCTCCACCATCCCTTCCAGCCCACGCCACCCCCTCCACGCTCAGGCCATAACCCAGCCTTTGTTAGGCCTGGCCCAGCCCTTGGGCCGCTCCCCAAGGCCAGGACACACCTGTTGGGCAGGGGCGGCGCGGGATTGGCCGCGCCAGGAATGCACCTGCGCAGGGAGGGGTTGAGGGCTCCATGTAAGACGAGCCTTGGCCTCGCTCCCCATCCCTCCTCAATTCCAGCTCCAACACGCAGCTCCTCCGCGGCTCCGCGCTCCGCCGAGCCCTTCCCGGCCTTTTTTTTTTTTTTTTTTGGTTTTGTTTT